AATCCCTAAAGGAATGAAGCCGATAAAGTCCTGACATTGAAAACAGATCTAACGGTGACATTGACCTTGACCCAACAATGAAACTCAAACTGGTCCTAGACATTTTGATGCTCAATTAAGGCATAAAGCCACTAATCTTGTCATAGACGCTGGGAACGGGTGGAGAGGAACACTATAGCACCCATACTGGACAAAAATAGTTGTTAATATATGTTGGCATTTAAGTTTATATAACATTATATACTATTTATGACACGACCCGCTGAAGAAACGTATAAAAGTACCAGTTTACTTAGGTACAGCCAATATCCTTAACTACCGTTTCTCAGGCGGGCGATTTTATTCACATCATTTTATACAGATACAAGTATGCTCGTTTTTTGTTATGTGTTTCGCAATCACGTTTCACAAGAACAAATTTTATCTAAGTGTTGCGAAAAGGTCTTACAAAATTAGAGTTAAAATAGTAGATTTTGTTGTTTATTTTTTTATTTGCATTGTGGGTTTTTGCTAAATGAAGTCTTTAGAGTAATACTTAAAAAGTCAAGAACTGATTAAGTAGGTCACAGCTACATAATTTATCCTTCACATCAAATACGTCCATTAACCAACCTCAAAGCAACATGACACTCGAGCACTACTAGAGAATTACATCTTGTATCTTGTAATACAGATTGAAGGGAGATAACTCGGCGACATCGCCTGTCTTTCTTTTCCAATATTGAACGCCATGGCTGTCTTATGTGTCGACTTGTCTTTATATGATATACTTCTGTATTGTTATGTGGTGTTTCTGCAACTTTTGTGTTACATTGGTAAAAAGCGCGTAAATCGTCTCCAGTTATTACGTTTGGGGTATATTCTTCCACATCCACGTGCCGAATCCTGTCACAAATACTTTACAGAATTACTTACACAATATAACATTAAAGAGAAACTGATATTTGTATAGTGATTCGGAAGTACCATTAAGATCGTGGTGACGCCAAAATGTAATATATGCAGAACAGGAATGTACAATATCAGGTATATTTAAAACAGAGGGATAAAAAATGTATTTAGCAAAGAATTCTGAGTTAACTTGGTATAGCTTTACTGTGTTTATAAACCATTGTTCTCATAGCTAATATTTTCAAAATCAAAGTAGTATACAATATGGTGTTATTTCCATTGTAAATAGATTAAACGTGCTTTTTGCTTTACAATTAAAATACCAATCTATATTGTATACCACATTCAGCCAAAATATATAGATTAAAAAGCTGAGTAATATTTTTATTATTTTTGCGAAAAGTCACTTTAATTAAGAGTGTTTTCTTTTTTTATTTTATTTTTTACAAAAATGTGATTCACTTCTCACTAGACAAAATGGCTGTAGTCAGGTGGGTTAGTGTAGGTGTGAAAAGGGTAAGATAACAACATGTAGAGAAATGGGATATCACAGTTAAGTGAGCAAACACAGACGCTAATGCTAAAGAAATCATCTTATTCTTCTATGCTATACGTCCCTGATAATATATATCATGTATGTAATAAACATTATATAATCCTGATGCGGGTAAACACGAAGAAATTTAAAGTGTGTCCGTTTGTCAGTCCCCTCTCCCCATCCCCAACCCACCCCCACCCCCACCCTCTCACTCTCTCTCACTGGACGAATGGAAGGATTGTGATTAAGTTTGATCTGGTCCAGTTGCCACCAGGTGCCTAGATCTATAAACACCGGGGGTCATGATCTTGTTCAGATTTAAAGTCTTTGTAACTTTAATCTATATGAATTATCAGTATATATATACAAACAACAATAAGACGATACAATCAATATACATACAAACACACCTCCAACCACACACACACCACTCTAGCATATATCACGCATGCGCACACACTCAAATACCGGCCAGTTGAATTGATATATATAATAATTTTTGGTTAAAATGTTGAACTGAGTAAGCAGGGTGCATGGACCAGATGGAACCTCCCGGAGAGAAAGCTTACATGGTCTGAATTGTGGAGGATGGAACCCTTCAGGATCTCGTTCATCCATCGCCCGTCAATCTGCACCAGTGGGGAATGACAGAGGACCCGAACTGCAGACTATGCAATCAGAGAGGGTCAATGTCCCACATCCTGGCTGGATGCAAGAAGGTACTTCAGCAAGGAAGGTATCGATGGAAGGCACGACAATGTACTTAGAGTATTGGCTGATATCCTGGACATAGAAAGACGGGAAAAGAGGACAAATCGGCCAGCAGCACAACCCGCTATTCGGTTTGTCAGGCAGGGTGAAAGAGGGAAAGGGAGGACAAGAAGCATCACTTCTATCTTTGACAGGGCTCAATCATGGGAGATGAAGGTGGAATTGGACAGGAAGCTTGTCTTCCCGGATATCGTGCAGACAACACTGAGGCCTGACATCGTGATGTCATCGCAGCAGTCCAAACTCCTCATCGCAATAGAGCTAGCAGTACCATTGGAAGTAGGTTGCGAGGAGACCCATGAAAGGAAGAAAGCAAATTATGATGAGCTGATGGCGAAGAGCAGAGAGAGATGGTGGACTGTGTGGCTAATTCCTGTGGAGGTGGGCTGCAGAGGGTTCCCGCCCCAATCCTCATGGAGGATGCTGCAGACACTAGGGATCACAGGTAGAACTCGAAGTGCAGCCATCAGACTTTTGGCAGAAACTGCAGAGAAAGCATCGTGCTGGCTATGGCACCGACGAGCACATAGACGAGCAGTGGCTTGGCCACCACTGCTGACCCACCAGCCGGAGGATGTTGTGATTTAGGGTCGAAATATCTGAAGAGGGCTGGATATTACAAGACGTCGACAGAGGCTTCGCAGCGGAAAGATACCAGTGACATGTTACACACAAGGATTGTCAAAGATAGCAGAATAAGACCATCTGTAAGTTATCATAGGGCTTGATCACACGATGTTTAAATTACTTGTAACAAATGAGATATTTCTCAAGGCAGATAAATTGATTTTGGTACTACATAAATAATAATGATACTATAACAAAAAAGCATGACATGCGCCTTCGTTTCTGATTACTTAAAGGAAGGAATTTTGCCATATTAGCCATCTTTTTATTTTGTTGTTTTCTGTACACATTAATTGAATGAATTTATACATAATGGGCCTAGTATAATAATACCTTTTTATAAACTTACTTCTCAAATCTCTATTACCTTGGCATTTAATTATGAAATGAAATCCATCCTCTATGTCATCATTATTACAAACGGTGCATTTTCTACATTATTATAACGTCCAATCTTTACATTCAACTTATGTGATGACATGCAAATTCTACTGATTTCTTTCAAATATCTCGAACCAATTGACATAGATAAATATTTTTGTAAACCAAACTTACCACTTACATACTTGTACAATTCACACTTCGAAAAAGATTCAATCTTACCTTTACATTCTTGCTGAAATATATTATACATCCTTAATTTAACTGCATCGACATCTTTATCGCTCATGCTGTCATAATACACATATATCCCTATCCCATGTGAAATAATTCATTTCTCACATATCCATACAAATTTCCTATTTTCTCCAGGATTTATTTGCAGCAAGCTTGCAGAATACAGTTGCCCGAGTTTTAAAATCTGAAACAATATTTAATTATTCTTAATTTACGAACAAAAACTCATCGGTAATTTCCCTGATTCATTATAAATCATATAAGCTGATGTGCTCTTCTAAAACCCTAATAATTTCTCACAAAAAGAAAAAAAAGAAAAACATATGTATTAAAGACAGGAAGCTGTGTTTCAACGTTAAAATAATTTTAATTGCAACCATTGATTACAACAAAAAGAGGCGTTTTTCCTTGTACAGCAATTTTTTCATGTGTTTTCCTTAGTTTTCCATTGAAATTTAACAAAACACCGAAGTAGTTAAACTCATCGACACTTTCTAGTTCGCATCCATTATAATTCCATTTATCACTTTCCCTTAATTTACCTCCGTTTCTGAAAACCATTACTTTTTTTCTTCTGTATTTACATTTAACCCCCATTCACCAGATTTTGAGTATATGTCATCACTTTTACCAGCATATAGATTGGTATCTTGCCTCTTAGTCTTCCAATGAATATAGCCGAGATTAGTATCCACCAACATATTACACGAAGGTTTGAATCATGAAAAAAAAAATCGATAATCAATACAGGTTCCACGCATTACTGTTGTCTAGTAATGTTGTTAAATGGCTATATATTATAAACTCGAAAAGTAATATTACGCTGTAAATGCAGATCACTGGTATATTGTAAAAAAAAAACAAATTACACACGATACACACCAAGTATAAAAAAACATGTACGTTGTACCCATGGTCTTGTACTTTTTTTAGCTGTACTCCGTGTAGCACGAACTTTCTCTGTATTTTACACATGACGTCAGATGTTTTGATGTTTTTGTTTGCAGTTGTGCACACTGACTTTTTTTATCCTCACTGTTTTGCAATTCGCTATGTCCAACAACTGAGAACGAATAAATTAGACCGTTCTTTTTTGTTTAAAAATGATTACCTCACACTCATTTTCGTTTTATCTTCTTATTAATTACTCTAATATAAATGAGAATATTTAATCAATAAATTATCTGATTATAAATAGATAAATAAAATGCTATTTACTACGTGATTGTGCTTAAAACACGGTATTTTCTAGTATATAACATACCGCGTGAAATATCACAGTACAGAAGCTGTAAGTTCGTGCTTTAGTTTGCAAATTAAAACAGCATTCAAGCTGCGTACGTGACTTAGGTCGCGAAACGAAAGTAGACCGGAAGTCATGTCGACAGCTTAACTGTGTTCGAGTATTTGATTGGACATTATTTGTACCGAGGCCTTTGATTGGCAGCGAAAGTAAACTTCCTTTCCCATGCCAAATGAACACAAGAGGCTGATCACGAATGAATTATTTCAGGAACACAGGTGAAAAAATTGTATACCATGCTATCAATCATAGTTAATTAATTTAGTAATTCATATTGATGCGAAGTTGTAACCACTAAGTGTCTCAAATGAACATGTCATTGTCGGATTCAGAACTTGGCCAAAACATACACCAATGGATTTGAGAGGATGTACTCGGACGTATCGTTTCAGACAGAGGATAAATGTATGCACTTTGAAACATTTGTGTGCTGGTAGATTAGAAGTGTTTTGATTTATCGGACAAAGTTACATTTTGGCACTCACGGACTGCGATATCTATGCATCATTTGTCTTAAGTCACTGTGTGACAGTTCAGTAATTAACCAGTCGTTCACAACGTTTTCAAACAAAAAATGGAAAATACTTTGTCCAGAAAGCTATTTTTATACAAATGGATAAACTAAATCACTATTAATTTTTTTGCCACTGACAACAATAAATCTTCTAGCCTACTCTAGTCTGTTTATGAATGTTATCCATTATATTACATTTGTATGGTTAACATAAATTCCAGCAAAATTCAATTACACAGAAGATGTATGTTGTCAAGTTTGTTTATAACTCTTAATATTGATTGAATTGTAAATATATCTGAATATCATGTCTGCAAATGTGGTTTACAACATAGTTGTCCCAGTTATTGTTTTATATGTCATTTTGTGCAGATACTTTTAAAATGGCACATATTGAATGTCTTTAAGGATGGTGTGGCATGACTCTGAAGCTTCCTGAAGAATTGGAAGTTATTAACTTCACACTACAACAGCAGTTAAAGTCTGAAGATTTCCTCAGGTTCTTAAATTATAAAAATCTTTACGTTCTCAGTTTGACCAGAAATTAATCGTGCAGCATGTTAAGATACACGAATCATTTAGCTATAGTTAACAAACTCAACTTAAACTAAATGCTGATGGGTCATCAATTTGTTGGTGCTAGGAGATTACTCATGGGGTCGTTAAAAGGAAAATTCTCAACATTTCCTTCTTTGTCATATTGAAACTTGAGGGTATTCTTACTGCACTGGACAGATTTTTAACAGACATGTCAGACTGTCAGGCTTGACTAGGTACACACCATAGTAAACAATGGAAAAGTTGAGTATCCAGACATGAAGACTTTGTACTTATATATGTATTTCTTTGTCATCATTTAAACTAAATTTGAGACTTTCACAACACACATGCGACTATCAGGAGGAATTCCCATGCAGTGTTGTGTGTTTGATATCAAGTAATGTATAAATGAAGGAGTGAATAAATGTACAAATGCCAATGCATAGAAGACAGTGTTTAGATACAAATGTATTTTCTGTACCATTTGCGTGTTTATATTTCATAACTGCTAGGTTCATATTAGTATGATCCATTTTAGGTGTAACTTTGAAAATTTCTGCCTTTTGAATGGAGGGATAACCCTTCAAAAACATTTTAAAACTTGTCTGTACACCAATGTGTCAGAGTTCAGAGGAGAGTAATCCTCTGTAATGTAAATATGCATTGGATTTCATTGACTGTACATCCTGTCATATCCATGGATGCAAACTAAGATAACCATTGGACCCGTTTTGCTACATTTTTGTCATTATTTGTATGATTGTATTACATGAACAAACATATTCAATCTGTTATAATAACTTTGCTGTAAGGCATGATTTTTAGTCAAATATCAAAATACTATGTCATAATCTGTTATCATGATCATATCTAGGGCATTTTCATCAAGCATTTATCATGAACTTTCATAAATTCTGATGAAGAGATAAATCAGTTTACACATTTTTGACTCTGCATGAGAAGTGTAATTAAAAGAAATTCATGAGCTACTACGCAAACTCAGGCAAGAGAATGAAATCTGGAAAAACGTTTTTTGTCAATATAGTAAATAGATCTTCATAAAGATTTTTTGAGGGGCAGCACAAATACTTAGAAGGACTTCCACAACACCCAGATAAAGCATGAACATAAATACACAGTTCACAATTTTACATACCCAGTACATTGTAATGACTTGGCATTACTTTCTGTAAAGTATTAAAAAAGTCTCGGTATAACCAAGGTAGCAGAAAACAGTTAATTTGTATTTTTCCTGAAATTATTGGCCATGTTTGAGATATACAGGTATAACAGTTTGGTTGTTAGAAATACACCCTTACGTGTATATATATTTATAAACTATATAACAATAACATTAATAGTAGAGAAATAAAAATTGTGTAAATAAAATTTTCCTCTGATTTCTTACATCTGATTGCCATGGTTATCAACTAAAAAAATGCTAAAATTTGCAAAAATACTATTAATTCCAAACTAACACTACAATTTATAATTTATTTCTGAATACATCTTAAAATTAACACCACTGTGATGGTAACAAATCACTTACATTTCAGCCAATTCAGAGCGCTTTCACAACATGACCATGTGTAAACACTCTGAAAATTTTGTTACCTGTAAAGCTAGTTTTTGATGTGTAGACACATATTCAAGACTGCCCAAATAGTAATCTCCAACACAATGCAAAATATTATTCTGAGAAATATTAAACCCTACACTGTCCACTTCAACATGACAAGACCAATTTTAGCAAGGATATATTTTATATATAGATTGTAATCAAAACCATTAAAAGGGACTAATCTAATGAACAAAAATAGCCACACCGAGAAATTGTGAACTGCAACCTAGGAATAAGTTAAATGCATTATCTCCCTTTGGTTATGATGTACTAACTGACCAGGAGAATTTTTCTATTCTGATTTATTAATTTCAATTATCTTTTCATAACCATAAATACATGCATACGTGTAGAGTTGGTCAGAAATAAATTGTGATTCAAATGTATACTTGTTCTAGGGGAAGTAACTCAAGAACTACTGATTGCTCTAAATGAATAATATGAATATACTGCACAGTTTCCTAAAATACAGATAAGGATTACTACATTAAATGGAAGATGATATGTCCTCTTTGTAATTGATCAAAGTAATTTTAAGTTTTTTTTATCATTGTTTGGGTATTTCTGATCTGAAAAACAAAATGGTTGATAGGCAGCCATCTTTGATTTTGACAGTGAAAGACTGTTACCGGGTAATCTGATTGATGCTCTTTCTGCCTGAGTGGATCTTTCTCAGATTACATTATATAAAGATTTTCCCCTGGTCTCTTGTTTGTGCTTTTTTGATATTGTGACTGACAAAAACAAATGAAAATGGCTTACAGACAGAAAAATTGGATTTTGACAAGGAAAGTTTGTAATCATTATTTCTTCACAAGTTTTTGATTGATCTTGCCAAACTTGATATGTAGATTCCCCTTGGTATCCAGTTGTGTGATTTTAATTTTTTGTATTGGTGAATTGAGCCTTTGGGCTTCATCCGTTATTGTGTGCTGTCTTCCTCCACACTTTAAACTTCTCAAGTTCTACTAGTGTCATTAAGCTGAAGATTGGTAGACAAGGTAAATGTTAAGAAAGGAAAGCTGACAGAGTTTTATGTTAAGGTAGGGAAGCCAATAAAGTTTTGTCATTTTTCATCCTTGTCAGAAGTTCATTATTGCAGCCATGGTGACTGTTTTCAACATGATTTGGCAATCATGGTTTCTCTTAACAATACCTGTTTTAAAAAACAATTCTCTCATTTCACTCACTTTAGTAGCTGATATTAAGGTTTTGTTAGTTCACCTGACCTGATGGCATGGATAGGCATGAATATTGTCTGAACCTTTCTACAAATATATCCCTGTCATAATTCACTGAGCAGATTTTGACCATGTTTGGTCACAAGCATTTGTTGGGGCCCAACTCGATGGGGAAATTCTAGCAAAATCTTTAGACTGAGGGATGATGCCCAGTAGGGCACTGACACTGTAGATGTAAATCTTTGAAAGTCATCTTCTTCTGTTGAATTGAAGGAATTTTTACCAAATTTTGCTTTAGTTATCTTTGATGATTTTTGTATAAATCAAATGTCTAGTGTCTAACTCCTTTGAGGACAGAGGAGCAGGGCCAAATGTAGGAAAGAGCAGTAAACATTACTTCTGTTAGGAGGAAGGTATTTTGGTTTGATCATGAGGCATTGAAATTCTTCATCATTTAGGAAAAATTGGGAAAACTTAACAATATTGTGAATTGTTGATAAAAATACTTTGAGGTAAAAGCTCAAATATCCAGGTGAGTGATACAGGTCCTTTTGGTCTCTTGTTGTTTATACCCTTAAATTCATATTTAATTAATTAGTACAGCTGAAATGTTTGATTTCTTAACAAAATTTGGTGTTTCACTATTGCCAGGTACCTGAAGCAGTGTTTGGATGATGGCCCTCCAGGCTGATTCTTTATTACCTCCTACCTAGGGTTACAACACAAGAATTAGTTATATTGAATTTCAAAGACATTGCACTGTTTAAGGTGCAAAATGACTGGAGAACATAATGATGGAAAAGATGTTCATCAAAACAACAGGCTTCGTTCTGGTCGCTCAACTGTGACCTCATTTGTTCGTTTTGTGAACCGGACACATAGGTTTGTGGATATTGTGTGGCTGAACTATGAAGGAGCACGTGTCAAATACAAGACTCTCCAGCCGGGTCAGTTTGTTGATGTTAACACATTTGTTGGACATCCTTGGATTTTCCGGGATTCTGACACTGGGGATCATTTAGTAGTTAAACTACGAGAGGTATTTGAAATGACAACAGGATGGACTCCCAATGATGGAGTGCCACCATGGAGAAAAGTCATCAATATTACCATTCCAGGTAAGCAGGACTTATTTCCTTACTTTTAATTAGGCGTACCTGTCGAGAAGGGTCCTTAGAAATCTTCATGGTAGCTACTTGGTCTATCAGTTCCACATTTTAATCTGCAAATCTGCAAAGGCAGATATAGCTTCATGATGCTACTGAAAATATTTGTTAGATTTGTTTTCAGCCCACCATCACAGGCTTGTAAAATAGCAATCACAGGCATATAAAAATTGATTGGTGATTATATAAAACTTTTAGTTTGATAATTTTTGAAATGATACTGGACCCTGTATTGATAAGTCTTTCTGGGATATAGTTTCATACCTCAGATAGTGGCAAGTGGTGTGCCTTGGGCAGTACCAGTATATGCAAGACAGGTCCAGATCTGTAACTGCTAAGTCTACCGTGTAACAAACACAACATTTAGATTTAATAAGTAATACAGAAGAAATGAAAATAAAATTTGCCTTTCTGACAGTATGAGAATTTAGATAATGCATTGCCAACACAAAAAGAAGACATCTATTTAATATTTACATATACAATGTATATATAATGAGTGTGTATTAATGCTGGTCATGTATGGCACTTTGTAAACAAAACACTTTAAATAAGGAATGTATATAACTGTTCAGTCTATATCTGATAGATCTACATTTGTCTAAACTAATAAGGATGTGTCCTATTTGTTAATGCACATTTTGAGTAGGATATTGAAGATGGCTCTCAGTGGCCATTTTGGATTTTGACATTGCCTAAAATTCCCAGATTTGAGAGCAGCTGCCCTTTATGTCCAGTGTTCCTATAGCGGAAGGAATAGATAATCCAATGTATTGACTCTACCTAGTTGTAGGAGAAACCCTGTGGTTTTCAAAAGTATCTGCCTGTTTATTAGGTCATTCAATCCAAAGGGTCAAGTTGACTTAATGCTATTGTGCATCGTCCATTGTCTTGTGCCATCCATCGTTTGCGATCTGTAAACTTTCTTCTAAAATGCTACTCCTTTTTTAATGCTTGGGTAGATTTAAACCAAATTTGGTGTAGGTGGATTATCATTTCTTAAATTCAGAAAGTTGATTTGACCCCGAGGGACTTAGGAGCAAAGCCCCAAATGGGAAAGTTAGTCAATATTTTGCTTCAAAAAATGCTGCTCTTTTTCAATGCTTGAATGGTTTTCAACGAAATTTTGGCTGAAACATCATTGAGAGTGGGAAATAATTTCCTTAGTTCAGAAAGTTGATTTGACCCCTTGGGACTGACTGGGAAAATTATTCAATAATTTTACTCAAAATGTTACTTTTCCTGAAGGCTTGAATGGATTTAAACCAAATGTCATACAAAATATCATTGTGGATGGAGAATAATTTCTTAAGATCAGAAAGTTGATTCGACCCCTAGGGACTTAGAGGTGGGGCTCCAGAAGGGGAAGTTACACAATATTTTGCTTCAAAACGCTAAGCCTTCTTAATGCATAGGTAGATTTCAACCAAATTTGACCTGAAAAATTATCAGGTAGTGGCAATGATATCAAACAAACATGAAGTGATCCTGAGGTTTTCCTGGCCAAATCTTTTTACACTTATACAACATAACTTGTCTAGAACAAAGAGTCTGAACTACTTCTCATGTTTAATTCTGAAGTGGAGAAAACTGTAGCACAGAGAATTAAACTCATCATTATGTTTTACATAATGTTGAATGAGTCATATTACTGTGATACAGATTAGATCAAAGTATTTTGTAAACATCTGATCACGTACCTTACAACTGTTCAACAGGTCCGAAGATTACATCTGGATATGATTTCCATAAATTGTTGTTAACCATTTGTATGTATATCATATTGCCTCTCAATTGTGGTTTGCTCTGTACATTACATAAATGCTTCAGATCTCCGAAATAATGTGTTTGATGTTTAACAACAAAACAATCGTTCATTTTATCAACTCGTGTCATTTTATTGTCTTTTGTCAATGTGGGACAAGGGATTTCTTTTGTCGAGGGGTGGGATGGTGGGGGTGTTGTTCTACAAAAAAAATTTCTCACGATAGAAGAAGATGTCCCATGCTTTTTATTGCATTTTAGAAATAGGCTGCGATTCATAATTTAACCAAAAGTCTGTTAAATGTGATATTTTCAAGTATCACGTAGAACAATTTAAAGTTTTTGTAAAATAAACTGTCAGTGTGTAGAAAAGTCACAATTGAGAAGAAACACAAAATGCATTCACCTGATTGACAAAATGATTGGAATCTAACCATTCCAGAAGTGATCTCTATATCTGTGGAGCAGTTCCATGAGGAAAGTGACCAAATACTTTCAAAATACTTTCAGTCTGCCCACTTGCACATTTATTAAACACATTCAGTGTTATGTAAGAGAAAATGACAAGTTCAGCTCTGCAATTGTTTTGTTCTTTTCGTAATAGAAACCTGGCCCCACTCAACAGAAAACCCATCTGATGGCTTTAAATGGGTGAAAATAGTGTCAGAATATTTACATAAATGAATGAAACATTGATGCTGGAACCTGAAAAGTGACACACATGTACGCATTAAGAACCCCCCCCCCCCCCCCAAACAAATATATACTGGAAAGGTATAAAAAAAGGATTTTATGAGGCAAAAGGACTACTGTGAAGCAATTTTCTTTCACATGCAATTTAACAATTTGCGAATTTTGTAACGATGCAAATTTTTGAAAGTTTATCATCTAAGTTTCATAATGTTATTTAATATCGGTAATAATACAATGGTGTTGCAAAAATTAAGAAAGTTTCAGTAGCTGTGAAAGAAAGTTGGTTTACAGAATATGCTAACTTCCAACTTTAATTTTCTACAGTGCTTTTGTTTTGGATATGTCATATCTGTAGGATTGCTTTTCAGGTTTGAAGGTCACTGGTCAAGGTCTCTGTTACTATAAATAGAAAATTTGTTTTCCTACAATAACCTTACAAAAGATACTTGCTGGGATTGCTTTTTAGGTCAAAAGGTTAAAGGTCAAGGTCATTGTAGCTGTATAAAAGAAAATTGGTTTTGTGTGATTATGTAAGTTTCTTTGGACAATTAGACTCAAACTTAATACAATGCTTCTTAATCAAAGGGGCATGTTTGAAATTGCTTTTCGGGAGGGTTGTCCCTGTTCCTGCCATATTTTGTGCAAATTCAGTATGTTTATGAAATTCTAATTCTGTGAGTAATTATTATATACGGATCTATCCTTGGGATTCAGTTTTCTCTGAGACCATACATCACATCTTAAACAAATAGACAAATTATATAAATGGAATAAATTCAATGAACATCTAGGACTTTTTTCCCATAAGTCTCAACTCCAGAAACCTTTTAGGGCAGGCAACACATCAACTTCCATGGAATTCTTGTCATTCTTGACAGACGAAATATTTTAGTGAAAGCCAATGTGTGTATTTTGATTAATTTTGAAAATGATTCGTAATTCAATTGGTGCAATTTGTTCTTGTTAAAATTATTGATATAAAAATGGACTGCGTGAATCTTTCAACACATGTGTCAGTAATTGTCATGGTAACCACAAATATGAAACAAGTAAGCATTTCATTGTCTTAATTATTTCCTCTCACATGTAAGATTAATGTGTTTTACATCATAAAGTATAGATGATAAAAAATTGACATGGTAACAATTTGTGGGAACAATTTTGATAGTAAAATCAGTCTCTTCATGTGTTACACTGAAAATGAGAGCTACACAAAACCATGATTAACATACGTATATTAAGATATCTAAGTATCTAATGAAAACGGATACTGGAGGGATCTTGTGAAGACATCTATATTGGTAAAAAATATCAATTAGATTTGGCCTATTCGCCCTTTTCATGGTTTGCTTCCTCACCTTGTATCAGGTATGCTATAGGGACAAATGATGTGATATAAGCTTTGTACCATGGGTGGTTTTCTTGCTGCTTTGAGATTTTTACCAATAACTGATGTTATTTCCTGCAGTTATTGGTAAAAAGAAATCTTGCATATAATGTTTTTAGAAAAAAAAGCTGAAAAAGTCTTGTCTACCATCAACCCTGTGATGTCTGTCCTATATCTTTTCAGTTTACACTCTTAAGGACAGGAGTCTGCAGGTGATAAGGAGCATTGTGAACCGGGACCGAATATCAGAGCTGGACCTACCTCAGATGCTGAAAGACGAAATAACATTTATGTTTGAAGTGTCAAGGCGTCAGAGACTAACAGGCAGTCCAGATAGTCCTATGGCAGAATCTTCTCAACATGCAAACTGACATCGGGAAGTTTTACAATGACAGGGTATCAAGTGTGTACCATTAATTTGATAGCCGGTTGATATCACGGACAACAGAAAGTAGGATTACAACTTGGGCTATTTCAACAAGGTACATGAAAGATCTTGGACTATTGAAATAAGAGATTTGGACAATTTGTGTATATAGAGGTCAGGTGACAGATTGGAGATTTTCACAAGTTACATACAGTTCATGCTATTTTAATGCCAGGTTACAGGTCTTAACCATTATTGGAAGTGCACACTTGAATTGATTTCAGCATCTTCCAGTATACCTGTACGCAGTCATCACGACAAATACACTTAGCTCATATGCCTGTACAGGCCAAGAGGCTTTGGAATGTCACCAGAAGGTGATGTTTTCTTTTAGAGAGGTAAATCTCAGTGCTATCCAGTGTTGTCTGATAAATCTACATCATCTTTGCCAAAAAAGTTGTCTTTCTGACATGTCAGCTTTCAGTCAAGATGAATCGATCAGAAAGACATACATGTAACATATTCTGTTAATCATTATGAATTGAGGAATGTGGAAAAATGGGACAGTCACAATGTTACCTGACAATCCCATCAGAGAATAGTGAAAACATGGGACAGTCACAATGATACCTGTCACTACCATCAGAGAATAGTGAAAACATGGGACAGTCACTATGGTACCTGTCACTACCATCAGAGAATAGTGAAAACATGGGACAGTCACTATGCTACCTGTCTCTATCATTAAAGAATGGTGGAGAAATGGGACAGTCACCATGGTACCTGTCACTACCATCAGAGAATAGTGAAAACATGGGACAGTCACTATGGTACCTGTCACTACCACATGGGACAGTCACTATGCTACCTGTCTCTATCATTAAAGAATGGTGGAGAAATGGGACAGTCACTATGGTACCTGTCGCTACCATCAGAGAATAGTGAAAACATGGGACAGTCACTATGGTACCTGTCACTACCATCAGAGAATAGTGAAAACATGGGACAGTCACTATGCTACCTGTCTCTATCATTAAAGAATGGTGGAGAAATGGGACAGTCACTATGGTACCTGTCACTACCATCAGAGAATGGTGGAGAAATGGGACAGTCACCATGGTACCTGTCACTACCATCAGAGAATGGTGGAGAAATGGGACAGTCACCATGGTACCTGTCACTACCATCAGAGAATAGTGAAAACATGGGACAGTCACTATGCTGCCTGTCTCTATTATCAGAGAATGGTGGAGAAATGGGACAGTCACCATGGTACCAGTCACTACCATCAGAGAATAGTGAAAACATGGGACAGTCACTATGCTACCTGTCTCTATCATCAGAGAATAGTGAAAACATGGGACAGTCACTATGCTACCTGTCTCTATCATTAAAGAATGGTGGAGAAATGGGACAGTCACAATGATACCTGACAATCCCATCAGAGAATAGTGAAAACATGGGACAGTCACTATGCTACCTGTCTCTATCATTAAAGAATGGTGGAGAAATGGGACAGTCACAATGATACCTGTCGCTACCATTAGAGAATGGTGGGAAAATGGGACAGTCACCATGGTACCTGTCACTACCATCAGAGAATGGATTCAAGTGCTTTGAATATTCTTTTGGTGCAATATGAAGTCAAGATATATTTAACTTTGAATTATTTTCTATTGAGCTATAGTTATCCAGGAAATTAAGTTTCTATGAAATACTTTTGAAAAAAAAATGTGAAGTATTTGATTTTCCTTAGGTTTCAGCAACTGATTTCTGTACTACCTTGGTTCTAGTCATACTGAAAACACAGTATATGATATAATGAATTCATTGTACATACATCTTCCTGATCCTGTGAATGTTGATGCCTATAGTCATTTGTTCTGTTACCAGGAAAATGGTATTATTAAATGCCAAAACATGATGTTATAGAGCTGAAGACAGATGTGAAATATTAGGAGGAAGACTAGATTATTTCATAGAGTATCTGGAGTTTTTCAAGGTCATTTAAAAAACTGAATTTTAAGTATTTAGGGCAGTTCTAGGTTAGTCCTGGTACAGAATATTAAACATCCAGGGTAACTCTAGGTCAGTCTTGAGACTGAGAGTTATACATCGAGGGTAACTCATGGTCAGTCCTGAGACTGAGAGTTATACATCGAGGGTAACTCATGGTCAGTCCTGAGACTGAGAGTTATACATCGAGGGTAACTCAAGGTCAGTCCTGAGACTGAGAGTTATACATCGAGGGTAACTCAAGGTCAGTCCTGAGACTGAGAGTTATACATCGAGGGTAACTCATGGTCAGTCCTGAGACTGAGAGTTATACATCGAGGGTAACTCATGGTCAGTCCTGAGAAGTATTAAACATCATGGTCATCTCTATGTCAGTCTCAAGACAAAGTTTTAAAATCAAGGGCAGCTCTACGTCAGTCCTAAGGCTGAATGTTAGATATCAGTGAAAGCTTGAGATCAGTTCTGGTAGTGAATTTTAAATATAAGGGGTAGCTTTAGGTCAGTACTGAGACTAAGTGTTAAATATAAGGGGTAGCTTAAGGTCAGTACTGAGACTAAGTGTTTAACATCAGGGGTAGCTTAAGGTCATTGCTGAGACTGAGTGTTAAACATCAGGGGTAGCTTTAGGTAAGTGCTGAGACTAAGCTTTAAACATAAGGTGTAGCTTTAGGTCAGTCCAGAGACTTGAATATTAAAACATCCAGGGCAGCTCTACCTCAGTCTTTAGGCTGAGTGTTAAATATCAGGGGAACCTGTTGGTCAGTTCTGTGATTAAGCTAAGCATAAGGGGCAGCTCTAGGTCAGTCTTGAGACTGAATGTAAATCACCAAAGATAGCTCTAGGTCAGTCCTGCGACTGAATGTCAAACATCATGGGGCAGCTCTAGGTCAGTCCCGAGACTGAATGTTAAACATAAAAGATAGATCTAGGTCAGTCCTAAGACTGAATGTTAAACATAAGGGTTAGATCTAGGTCAGTCCTGCGACTGAGTATCAAACATCAGGGTTAGCTCTAGTTCAGTCCTAAGACTGAATGTCAAACATCAAAGATAGATCTAGGTCAGTCCTAAGACTGAATGTTAAACATGGGAAAGCTCAAGGTCAGTACTGAGACTGTTAAACATCAGGGTTAGCTCTAGGTCAGTCCTAAGACTGAATGTTAAACATGGGAAAGCTCAAGGTCAGTACTGTGATTAAGCGTTAAACATAAGGGGTAGCTCTAGGTTAGTCCTAAGACTGAATGTTAAACATCAAAGATAGCTCAAGGTCAGCCCTGTGACTGTTAAACATCAGGGTTAGCTCTAGGTCAGTCCTAAGACTGAGTGTTAAACATAAGGGTTAGATCTAGGTCAGTCGTGCGACTGAGTGTTAAACATCAGGGTTAGCTCTAGGTCAGTCCTAAGACTGAGTGTTAAACATAAGGGTTAGATCTAGGTCAGTCGTGCGACTGAGTGTTAAACATCAGGGTTATCTCTAGGTCAGTCCTGAGACTGAATGTCAAACATCAAAGATAGATCTAGGTCAGTCCTAAGACTGAATGTTAAACATGGGAAAGCTCAAGGTCAGTACTGAGACTGTTAAACATCAGGGTTAGCTCTAGGTCAGTCCTAAGACTGAATGTTAAACATGGGAAAGCTCAAGGTCAGTACTGAGACCGTTAAACATCAGGGGTAGCTCTAGGTTAGTCCTAAGACTGAATGTTAAACATCAAAGATAGCTCAAGGTCAGCCCTGTGACTGTTAAACATCAGGGTTAGCTCTAGGTCAGTCCTAAGACTGAGTGTTAAACATAAGGGTTAGATCTAGGTCAGTCGTGCGACTGAGTGTTAAACATCAGGGTTATCTCTAGGTCAGTCCTGAGACTGTTAAACATCAGGGATAGCTCTAGGTCAGTCCTATGACTGAATATCAAACATCAAAGATAGATCTAGGTCAGTCCTAGGACCGAATGTTAAACATGGGAAAGCTCAAGGTCCGTCCTGAGACTGTTAAACATCAGGGTTAGCTCTAGGTCAGTCCTAAGACTGAATGTTAAACATCAAAGATAGCTCAAGGTCAGTCCTGTGACTGTTAAACATCAGGGTTAGCACTAGGTCAGTCCTGAGACTGAGTGTTAAACATCAAAGATAGCTCAAGGTCAGTATTGTGACTATTAACCATCAAGAATAGCTTGATTTCACTTCTGAGATTGAGTCTTAAACATGAGGGCTTGATCTAGGTTAGCTCAAGTTCCGAGACTTGTTAAATATCAGGATTGCTTAAGGCAGTCCAAGGAATGAGTATTGAACATCACGGACAGTCCAGAAAACGAATGTTAACCATTAGGGACAGTTAAGTCGGTTCGGAAGTTGATTGTTAGACATCAATGCATTTTAATCAATCGATCAATGCACTGAATGTCTAGCATTTCTAGGCAAGTACCGCGCATTACCTTCCAGAACAGCTTTATGTTTATAACAAATATCATAAGTTTCTCTAGGTCAGTCTCAATTAACAAATAGCTGTAGGTCTAACGTTAAACCAGATATTGTCACAGGAAAACATCCTTTGATGTAGGTATCAATATCTTTAATGAATTTTCAAAGTTTCTTTTTCAGAATGATAGATACATGTGTAATTTAGAGTTATAAATTAATAAACATCATAATTATACAAAGTGAATATTGGCTCGACTAGAAGGGAAATATGGAATGTTAAACACATCAATGTCCTGAAGATATTTTAAAATAAGATCGATAACTTCTGGTTAAAAAGAAAATCGTTTTGATCAAATAAATAATTGGGAAAAACATTTCTTGACTGCGTCATCTGTTATTTGAAACTTGAGTGTAATGCTATATCATTACAAGATCAAAGGCACTGCTTATTTATTAGTTTGTCAAATATACTGTTGCACGGTTTCTTTTAATAAGCTTGAGTACCATTTTCAGATCAGCCCACGTGTAACATTTGTTTTCAAAATAGCAACAGAACTCAAGCATCCTTAAAACATCTCCAGGAAGGGATAGGTAAAACCAACATTGGAGCATGCTACAAAATGAGATTAGCCTAGGCGATGCGCTAATGTCTTTCAACACATTTGTAAAAAGTACCACTCCTGTAGAAATGATTAGATTTTACACAAATTCGGTTTAAAGCATTCTTGGATAAACGGAGATCGGTTTTGTACAAACGATGGGTCTCGGCCCCTAAGGCAAGGAGAGACTGGCCAATAGGAGAAATAGAGCAAATTCATTAAAATCCTACTGCTGTAGGAATGGATAGATGTTGCACAACTTTGGTCTGAAGCCTTCGTGGGTGAAGGAGAATAAGTTTGTTTAAATGGTGTTTTAGCCCCCTTGGAAGGGAGAGACAGGACTCAATCAGGGAAATGAACATGTCCTAATTTGATATAATACATTCTTGGGTGAAGAGGAATCAATCTTGTTTAAACAGATAGGAGAGGAGGGTCACCATAAGGAAATATAGCAAAATCTTTAAAACTGTCCGTATTCTTTAGGGATAATTAAAATTTGCACCAATTGGGTTGTGAAGTATCCAAGGGTAAATGGTGTATCTGCTTCCTTCGGAGCAGTTGGGTGGGGCCTTATAACGACTTCATCTACTATCCTGTCGTAATAATGTACATTCACAACTATAATCTCTTGTACAAGTTTTTGTCTCTGCTTGGGGTCAATATTGATGTCACTGATCGGTTTTCTATGTCTAGGCCCAGCCGACGTTTTATCCAATTGTCGTAAGATTTCATACACTGACTCGCAACCTTCATTTCTAGATTCTGAACGATGTTTGCATTTCCTTGTAGGTCACGTATTATGATGGTACT